TATATATATCCCAGGCTATAATGTTGAACACCAGGTTATCCTCAAACAATCCCAAAGTGTTGAGATTACAGACAGACAGGCTTTGTACCAGGGCTAGTTCAACAGCACATTTTTTTTTAATCTTAGATATTTGAGTTCCTTCCACCTTATGCCTGCTGTGAACAAGGAGCTGCAGTGAATATGTAAAAGTTACTTCAATCATAGTAGCACACTCCTTTAATTCCAGCACTCAGAAGGCTGAGAGGCAGGTGAGTCTTTGTGAGTTCAAGGTCAGCCTGGTCCACATAGCAAAATCTAAACCAACTGGAGCGGCAGAGTAAATCTGTGTCTCAAGAAACTGTGTGTTGGGCACGGGGGTTGGGCACATGGCATGGCATGGGTGTAGAAGCCAGGACAACTTGAGGGGATCAGTTCTTTCCTTCCACTTTGTTGATCCTACAAATCAAAAAACTATAGACACCTTTACCTGGTGAGCTATCAACCAGCCCAAATAACATAATTAAAATATGATCAAAGGGCTTGAATACACCTGGCAGTGGTGGCTCACACCTTTAATCTCAGCACTCAGGAGGCAGAGTCAGGTGGATCTCTGTGAGTTCGATGCCAGCCTGGTCTACAGAGTGAGAACCAGGACAGGCACCAAAACTACACAGAGAAACCCTGTCTGGGGGGGGGAAAAAAAAAGGCTTGAATATATATTTCTTCTTTTCTTTTCAAAAGTGGGAAATTTTCCGTTGTTCATTTCTTGCATCCGAAATACTCTTCAATGACATTTTTAGCCTGAAATTATTTGTCATAGTCCTTCCTCACGACAAAACTGCAACCAATCACTTGAACGTTTGTCTTGGGCCACATCTGGGCTCACACACACTATACGCAGACACATACAAGTGGCTGAGGGACTAGAGAATATGTTACGATCCCTGAAAGTAGTACGCATGGGCTAGGGACCCAAGTGGGCTATGATGGCCGCTGCCTGGCCTGTGCTGCGGTTAAAGAGACATACAAAAGAGGCTGCACAGTCTGCCAGGAACTATACCAGGAAAGACGTGGACACTTCCTCCACACCGGAGTGGAGGGGGGAGGGGGTGAAAAGGGGGAGAAGGAGCCATGACATCAGTCCCCTTGATCACAGGCTTTTGCCACCATCAACTCCATTGTTTTAGTTCGTTTGTAAAGACAGAGTCTCAAGTAACCCAGACTGGCCTCAAACTCGCCATGTAGCCAAAGATGACCTGATACTCCTGTCTCTACTCACCACACCTGGTTTATGTAGTTCTAGGATTCAAACCCAGGGCCTTGTGCCTGTGTACTACACAAGCACCCTGCCAACCGAGCTACATCCCCAACCACTGTATTGTTTTTTAAAAAGTCAAAACAATTTTGGTTATGTCCATACCTTTTCACTTTTTCTCCTGAGTAAAGTTTCTAGGATCCTGTCCTAGGACAATAATGCATTTAACACTGGCTTTTCAGCCTCTGCTCAAAAGTACTTATAAAATACATTGAGAATTAGGACACTAGCCCTGCATTCTGGTAGAAACATTTGCTACAATGCAGACACACTGTCGAGGATAGAGCCTACCTCTAGGTGGAGACATGCCCGCGTCTCCACTGGGGTAGGTGAGGACTTGTCTAGCGGACCACCACCAGGAAGATGGGTTCATCTTAAGATATTTTGCTTTTCCTGTCCAGAATTCCCACCCCTAACATGTCTCCACTAGCTGAACTGCCTAGCGGTGCCCCCAAGCCAGCCTGCCTTTCTGAGGCCTATTTCTTCTATTTTTTTTTTTTTCAGATGCTGACCAGAGGATGTTTGTAGACGCCATAACTAATGCTTTGGGAGTCCTTATCTTTTGCAAAGCTCCCCTCCAGGGCATGTGGCTCCATGCCACTGTGTGACTGACCTCCGCAAGGCCTTACCTCAGGCAACATGGGGTTTGTTCCTTCTCTTCTCCATTCTCCTTCTCCTTTCAAGCTTGGGGGTTCACCTGGAGTTTTCCTTTTAAACCTAATAAACTGCCCCCCAGCTTCTTTTGGTGTCCATTCTTAAATGATTTCACTAACAAAACTAAGAACCCCGAGGAAGGTCCCCGATTTCTCAGGTATTCTGTAACAGCTCTGCTGGGATTCCCAAGGTTTCAGGAACGTTCCTTTCCTGTCCTTCAGTTCTTCAATTGGCAGAAAAGACCGTTTCCAGTGACTCTGGACTGATCAAGACAACACAGCAGACGTGAGCTGGGGCGGGGCACATACAAGAGTTGAGCTGTGGGAGAGGACCTGCTGGAGGAGAGGACCGGCTGGAGGAGAGGACCAGCTGACGCGCTTGTTTTCCCGGATGGCAAACTGTGTACAGCGTGTACTGTTTCCTTTCCTCGTCCTACAGCTGCAATCTCTTTTGATCTATTTCCTGTTGAGAATGTTTTGCAAGTTTACACATGAGGATGACAACCGGGTATAGGCCCTCCCAGTTACAGGACCTATCCAGGACAGAGAGGTCTCCATTATCATAAAATAAATACCTTCACGTGGTCATAATATCCGCTACTCCCTTTGAAATGGCCCAAACAGAACACTACACAGTGGGTATGAACTTCAGATTTATTTAGCCAAGAACGTGGAGGGGATGAGGCCAGAGACAGCTGCTGAGACCTGCTGTGGGCAGTTACATACATCTTTGTACCTCTTTGCTTGCAGGAATTCAGCAGAGTGCAGAGCACCTGCTAAGTCCCTATTCTTCCGTTCTTCTTGTTGTTTTGCTATAATTTCTTTATAGATAAATTGTAAAAGCAATGCTTGTATACCCATTATGCAGATTCCAAAGGGGTGCATTTTGCCTCTTTTTTCTTTTTTGATGGGAGTGCACTAGGGATTCAACCCAGGAATTTTTTTTTTTTTTTGAGACAGTTTCTCATTGTGTTACCCTGGATAGCCTTGAACTCACTATGTAGTGTTGAAGTATATTTTATATCACACTGAGAACCCCAAGATTGTATTATTTACTAGAAACCCCTGTTTCTAGTTGTGATGTGGCTCAGCTCTAGTACACACCTTTAATCCAAGAGCTTTCTGCTTGAATATTGTAAACAGGATTAAATAAAGTCAACCCATAGGTCAAGAGGCAGAGCAAGCAACCAGTTTACAGGGAAAAAAAAAAACACATAGAGAATAAGAGAGAGTCAGGAGGACACATAGACTCACAGGAAGTAGAAGGGAGGGACATTCAGTTTGAAGCGTTTTTGTTAGAGATGGCGTAAGAGAAAGGCCTTTTTTTCTGGGACATCAGCAGAGGAGGGTCATCTGGGTGCCCACTCTGCCTTTGAGCTAGCAGATATTCACTCCAGCGTCTGGTTCCCAAGTCTTTTTGGTAAAATCGAACAATTGAGATTTAGTTAAACCACAGTGTAGACCAAGCTGGCCTTGAATTCACAGATATATACTAGCCTCTGCCTCCTGAATATTGGGTTTAAAGGCCTGCTCCACCACACTTGGATTTTTTTTAAAGATTTTATCTTTATGTGTATTAATGTTTTGCCTGTATGTAAGTGCACTCCATGTGTGCATGATGTCCTGGAGGCCAAAAGAGGGAGCCATATCTCCTGGAACTGGAGTTACTTACAGTTGTGAGTTGTCATGTGGATACTGGGAATTGAACCTGTGTTCTCTGCAAGAGTAGCTAGTGCTCTTACCTGGTTAGTTATCTTTTCAGTCCCATCTCTTTCTCTTCTTTCTTTGTTTTTGTTTGTTTGTTTTGTTTTGTTGTTTGTTTTTCTGGAAACAGGGATTCCCTCTGTAGCTCTGGCTGTCCTAGAACTTACTCTGTAGACCAGGCTGGTCTTGAACACAGAGATCCCTCTGCCTCCCAAGTGTGTGCCACCACTGTCCAGCTTCTTTATTGCTTTTTAAAATAAAACTTTTAATTTAAAGATAGAGATTCCAGGCTAGCCTTAATTCACTCTGTAGCCTAGGCAAGCCTTGTAATCCTCATGGATCAATCCTCCCGAGTTTTTGGGATATGGGCCTGTGTCACCAGGTCTGGCTTTTTTTTTTTTTTTTTTTTTCTGAGACAGGGTTTCTCTATATGGCCTTGGCTGTCCTGCTATACTGGAACTCAGTCTGTAGACCAGGCTGTCCTCAAACTCAGAGAGATCTGCCTGCCTCTGCCTCCTGAGTGCTGGGATTAAAGGTGTGTGCCACCACCACCCAGCTCTGGCTTCTTTATTAGGATTTTTGGTAAGATTTTATTTTTAATTACATGTATATGTGGGTGTACTATGTGGATGTGTGCACGTCACTGTAATGTCCCCAGAGGCAAGAAGAGAGTGTTGAGTCCCCTAGAGCTGGAGTTACAGGTGGTTGTGGGTGTTACACCATGTGGGTGCCAGGAAATGAACTCAGGTCCTCTGGAAAAACAGTATGCCTTGTGTCCTTAACTGCTGAGCCCCCTCTTCAGTCCCCATATTTGACATAGTTTTGAAGATAAGCCAGAGGAGCTGGGCCTGGTGACACAGGTTTGCAATGCCAGCTACCAAGAAGCAAGGTGATTACAGAACGCCTGTGTCCTAGCAAAAACTCAACCAAAGGCAGCTCAAAGCATGTAGTATGCAGTTAAATTCTTTTTTAAAAAACTAAAAATCTTCATTTATATTGTATGAATGTTTTGTCTGCGAGTATGTCTGTTTGTCATGTGCCTGGTCCCTCAGAACAAGGTATCAGATTCCCTGGAACTGGAGTTAAGCAGCCATGAGCCACTGTGTGAGTACTGGGAGTTGAACCTGTGTCCTCTGAGAGAGCAGCCAGTGCTCTTAACCACTAAGCTGTCTCTCCAGCCTGCTATGATTAAACTCTAAATTAAATAAATAACATCCAGCACAGTGGTGTAAACCTATAATCCAGAACACTTGAGGACTGAAGCTGAAGGATTTCAAGTTTGAGGCTAGCTGGAGCTACCTAGATCTTTTTTTTTTTTTTTTAATTAATGAATTATTCCACTAGGAGTAGAACCAGAATCCAAACCAAAATGTAAGTAAAAGCACCATCGACAGAAGAACTTCCAGATGAGTTCATTCATTCGTTTCAAGTGGGTAATTGTGGAAAATTCACTTAGGGTTGGCAACGTCAAGCAAATATGAGGTAGTAACGTAGCTGACGGACTCTGAGAGGTGGACAGGTGGAAAGCTTCATGAGTTGGTGGTTTTCGTGCTATTTAAGTATTATTCAATGGCTGCTGTGGAAACAAAGAGGCTCGATCTGTCTGGTGAGTGTAGATCAGGGCAGGTTTCTGGGAGAATGGAGTCTTCCTAGTTAAAAAGAACAAGAAGCTTAAAGCCTGGAGGCAAGAACTCAGTGGTCAAGGTTGATAGAAACCTAATGAGTGCATAGGGCAGCGCAGCTTCTAAAGACACTGGGGCCAGGGACATCTCAGACCATGATCCATGCATGTGCTCATGGGAGAAAAGCCCAGTTAAGGGTCCATCACCAAGAGACTCTGTCAAACAGAAACACCGCTGGTCATTCCGGATGTCCCGCCCCCATCGCCGTAGTTCTTTTTGCTTTTCCCTTGGTGCGTGCGCATGCATTTGTGTCTGTGTGTATGTGCAAGCATGGGCACGTCACGACACGTGGTAGATGTCAGAAGACAACCTTGGTGTTGGGTCTCACCTTCCAGCTTGTTTGAGAAAAGGTCACGTGTTCACCACTGCGGATGGATGAAGGACTAGCTGCACTGGGGGCTTCTGGGAGTTCGCCTTTCTCATCTCTCAGCTTTGTGTGGGTTCTGGGGGAGTTGAACTCACGTTCTCAGGCTTGATAGCAACTGCTCTACCCCCAGGCCATCTCTCTAGCCCCTTTCCTTCCTTTCTCATCCCCATTCCAGAAATTTTCCCCTTGACTATTGATCCTTCCCATTTCAATCTATTATTATATCTCCTTACATCATGTCCTGTATTGACTCAATGTACACCTCCAAACTTTGGAAGATGCTTCTGCTCTGTAAACTATGGCTCCTCAAATGTCCCCTGGCTCCATAGATGCAGGTGTTTTATCCTGTGTTAAACTCTTTGTCTTCTCTGATATCAAGGCATTGGTAAACTCTGAGTGTTTATCATTGTTTTTGGGGGGCACTGGGAAAGAAGCCCCCAAAAGCAAGTGTTCTGTTAGTGCTCTACACTCCAATTCTAAACTCAGGAGGTTATTATCTGTTTCATGGATGTGGAGTCTAAGAGTAAAGCCTCAACTTATCATTCGTGAAGTATGACTCAAAACAGGACCTCTGCTGCAAGACTACTACTGGACATGGCCGTCCCGTTGGCTCTCATGAACCCCCATATCCATCTCCATGACAGAGATCCATTCTTCCAGTTGATCCTTTTGTCTCCTTTCCCACATTTCCATGAGCAAATCCTGCCTTTTACCTCTGCTTCCAAACAGACATGTCCAGAGCCTAGCACCTTCTTACTGTTTCCAGTTTGACGCCCAGTGCTGGGCCGCCATACCTCTCACCCGGATTTATGAGGAACTGTCTTGGGGGTGGTCTGTCCTTGATCTCCCCACAATCCCACTGAAACCAAACTTAGAGTGGGCTGCTACTCAGATCCTTTCAGGGGCTCTTTCTCTTCATTCTAGACACAGGATTGTGCCCGTTTCTATTTCTACTCCCACCCCTCCCCCATGCCATATGGATGCCAGGCAGTCATTGTACCCTCTCAGGTACATCCCAACCTATTGATGTCTCCTGAATACAACACATTCATTTCTGTCTCAGGACATCTTTGTTTTCTGGATTTCCCCCTACATATCATAACTGCTTTCCTATTTCTTTCTGCTCAAGCTATGAAATTTTCTCTAATTTTGTTATAATTGAGGAGGATGTTTACTCCAAATGAAACAAAGCCCCTCCTTCTATGGCCTCCCCATCCCCACTCTGAAAGTCTTCTTTTGGGGGTAGGAAGGTGACAAGGTCTCACTCTGTAGTCCTGGAACTCACTCTATAGACCAGGCTGGTCTTGAACTTACAGAGATCTACTTGCCTCTGCCTCCTGAGTGCTGGGATTAAGGATGTCTGCCACCACACCTGGCCCAAAACTTTTAACTCTGCTTCCTTAGTAATTCTCACCATATGGCTAGATATACTTAAATTTTTGTTTTGTTTTTTTCAAGACAGGGTTTCTCTGTGTAGCTTTGACCTTTCCTGGATCTCGCACTGTAGACCAGGCTGGCCTCGAACTCACAAAGATCCACCTACCTCTGCCTCCCAAGTGCTGGGATTAAAGGCGTGTGTACTACCACTGCCCGGCAAAATTTTTGTTATATATATTGTGTGTGGATGTGCCACAGAACATATGTGGAGGTTAGAGGATGACTTGTAGGATGTTTGTTCTCTCTTTCTACCAAGTGTGTCCTGGGGACTAAACTCAGGTTGTTGGGCTGGGTGACAAGTACCTTTACTGGCCATCCCACAGGTAAATATTTTGTAATGTTTGAACACGAATCCTGTGAGATAGACACTCATTTATTTTTCCATGAGTGAAACCAGAGCTGTAGTCCCACAGCAGAGGATGGAGATTCACATTTAATTAAGTATTTAATAAGTATTTGTAGATGGATGAATGATGACGTGTTTGGCACACAGGAGTCTTGTAATACCTACTTGTGTGAATACTGTTAGGTCCCAAACACTGGACAAATGGCTGAGATGCCCATTAGCATATCAAAAGCAGATGCTAGCCACCAAGTTCTCCCAGAATCCCTTAGTCCCTACCTGTTACAGGGTATGGCTGGCATACCCGCCCCTGCCCTAAACTGCCTTTCCCCCAGCTGCCCTTCACTATATAATCCAGCCATTTTGGCTACTTGGCCCTATTGTCTACCTTTTACCCTTTTGGCTCAGACCACCCGTGAGGTCAGCAGCTCCTTTCCCCTGTCCTCGAAAGGCCTAGCTCAGTCTAGCCATGTCCACTCTGGACTCTCCCAGATGTCCCTGCCTCTGACTATGCTGTCCCACATATCTATAATAAACTTCTCCTCCACCACACCTAGGAGCAGCCATGTCCTTCCTTTTATATTTCTTCTTCTCCTCCTCCTCCTTCCTCTTTTTCTCATTCTTCTGGTGCTGAAACCTAGGGGAATGTCATACATGAGTTCCTTCCAAGGAGCTCAGCCATTCTGAACCAAGCTGCGGATCTGACTCTCCTAGGGTATATATGAATCATTTGTTTCTGCTGGCTTCTGCCACCCATAAGATTGGATTCCAAATTCTAGAGTGTGGCGCGCTCCTCTCGACCCGCAAGGAAGAACGACCGCCACACAAAGATTCTTCCCGATCACACTTTATTGGAGAGCCTTTGGTTAAGGGAGTGCTGGAAGCGAGGGGAGGGGGCAGTGAAAGCGGCTGCTTTTTATAGGGAAAGAGGCGCGAATCGCTGGCTGAACTTAGCCTGCGGCCACCAGGCAAGACAGGATTGGTGAGGGGCCAATATAACTTGTGCATATGCAAAGCAGAGGCGTGTATTTCGTCGAAAGCATTGTCTTAGGAGTAATAAATCTTCAGAATGCAGAGAAGTCAGCGCCATCTTATAATGGCGATTGTCCCGGCTCCCTGCACTAGAGCCTGATTCTTCAGCTACTGCTTCCTTCTGCTGTGGGATGTCTTTCTGTGTACTGTAAATATGTGTTGCTCTCATTGGTTGATAAATAAAGCTGTTTGGCCAATGGCAAGGCAGAATAAGTTTAGGCGGTACATTCAAACTGAAGACAGAGATGAAGAAGGGTGGAGTTAGGGCAGATGCTTCCAGCCACCTAAAAAGCAAGATGTGAAAGAACTGGTAAGTCATGGGCCATGTGGTGACACATAGATTAATAGAAATAGGTTAATTTAAATGTAAGAGCTAGCTAGTAATAAGCCTGATCCATCGGCCCAGCATTTATAATTAATATAAGCCTCTGAGTGATTATTTAAAAGTGGCTGTGGGACTGGGTGGGACAGAGGAAAGCCTCTGATTACATCCTTCCACCTGTTTTCTAACCATTTGCCTCTAGTCTACTCATAAGTGTCTCTCTGGACTCTGGCCTGCTATGCCCTCCACATGGGCACCTCTACACTCTGTACACGTTTCTCCTCTGGTTTGCTGCACCCACGTGAACATCTTCCTTTTCTCCTGCTCTTTCCCTCTCCTCTTCTGGATAAGTGTCACCCCTACCTGCCTTTGTTTACTGTTACTACGAAAGCCACACCAGTGTGCCAGGAAGCTCCTCATGCCCGCACTGGGCTCCAATAACAAGGACAAGGCCTTTCCTCTATGATTTGGAACATTCTTCAATCTGATGAGATCCCCACTCTGCTTGGGGATGCCCCATGGAAGTTCTTGTCTCAACGACACTTTATCCACTTCATCTCTTCCCCAGGAGCTGCAGTCCAGCTTTCAGAAGCCTGAGACCCTTTTCCTTCCTCCCTCCTATCTACCTGATCTTTCTCTCTTGTGAGCCTTCCTGGGTCTATACATTGTGAGTTCCTTATCTCTTCCTTCTAGAAACTGCAGCCTTGAAGCTATTGTTCTCGGCTCCCTCCTAAAGTTTCCTCCAACCCCTGGGAGCTGCCTACTCTGTCTGTTCCTTAATCCCTCCTGGCACCCACCCAACTGCCCCCACTCTCCCCACCGCCCCAGCTTCTGCTCTCAGCTCCCTCTTGGAGCTTATAGAAATTCCCTCCACTTACTTCCTCCACGCAGGTTTTATTACTACAGCTTGGCCTCTGAATAGGTCAATGGCCAAAAACTGGCACACTTGATTTCTGAATTCTCACAAAGCGTAACACCTGCCACTGCACAGACAAATGATCTCAAATCTATTATATCTAAACTTGCTCTGCCCTATGTTTCCAAAAGTCTCTTATCTCTAAGGTTCTGCTTCCTCCTCTGTTGGTTTGTTTGAGACAGGGTTTCTCTGGCTGTCCTATTACCCACTTTGTAGACCAGGTTAGCCTCACAGAGATCCGCCTGCCTCTACCTCCTGAGTGCTGGAATTAAAGGCGGGCACAACCACAGCCCAACATCAAAAGATCTCTTAAGACTATGCTGTAAATTCTATCTTAGGATTTGTAAGTTCTTTGGGGTATGATTTAAAAATCTATAAAATCTGTCACAAAATTTGGATTTAAACTTATAACAAAAGGCTTATAATTAAAAATCTGGCCGGGCGGTGGTGGCGGCGGCGGCGCACGCCAGTAATCCCAGCACTCGGGAGGCAGAGGCAGGTGGATCTCTGTGAGTTCGAGGCCAGCCTGGTCTATAGAGCTAGTCTAGGACAAGCTCTAATGCTACAGAGAAACCCTGTCTCGAAAAACCAATAAATAAATAAATATCTATACATGATTATCTATGTGATTCATCTCTTGTCTAGAATATCCTGTGTATGTAACTTAGATTCTACTCTTGTTTAGGAAAATGCATGTTTTTAAATAGCAACCATGTGGTTCTCCTGCATCTTGGCTGATGACCTCATCAATATGGAAGCAACCATGTGACTGTCAGCCATCTTTACTGAGGTTAAAGAGTGAGGGGGTCCCTGCAGGTGTCAGACAGGGAAGTGAACTGCTCCAAGAGATAAGAATGAAAACCCTGTGCAGATTGACTTCATCAACTTGGATCAGATTTCAGGGAGCCTAACACCAGGCAGTTTATTGTAGTCATATTTAAACACAATATAATTTGGAAAAGGGTCTCCAGGCAACAAAATTTCCATAATTCCAATTCCAGGTGCACAATAAAGCTTAAGATGTGACTACACAGAAACACATGACCATGAGGGTGGGTTCCATAGTTAAAAGACCTAGAATCTAGTGTGGTCTCTAGATAGAGAGGTCATCATGCCACAAAGAGTGTGTGACATCTCCCCTAAGGATGGATAATGGTCTAGGGAGGGAAGAGTCATGGGGAATAATCATTCTCGGGATTAGGGTGGGGGCTGTCCCTTCAGATGGTAAAAAGGTCACAAGGTCGTTAACAACCTCGACTCTCAGCTTTCTGGATGGAATGCAGGCATTTGATTTTTATCTCCTCCATTGAGGAGACACTTCTGCATGATTAACGTTCTTGGTTCTCTTAGTGCTTCTCTATGAGTACAAGGCCTTTCTGCCCTCTACAAAAAAGTGCATGCCATGTGACGTCACCATCTTAAGATGGTAACATGGTATAAAGTAACAATTACAAAACTTCTTAGTCTTACTGAGCCCTGCTTATCATTGTCTCTCCCTTCAGACTAAGGAAAGAACAGGTCTCTAAAATATTTTGGACCAGTATGGATTTTCGTATGATGATAAAATTTTAAAGCTATAAAAGATCTACTCAGAATAACAAAAATTGGCTTAGAGATTTACACCTAACTACTTATGTCTTTGCTAACTGTTCAACAACAGACTTCTGCAATAGTTATATAAGTAACAGCATGTTTGATAAATAAGGTATATTTGATAAATAAGATTTATACATTCCTAGGATCTACTCAGGTTCACAGTAATGTTTGCCTAGCTTCTTTGTCTTTGTTCACTTTGTTAAGTTTTACCTATTTGGATAAACTAAGTCATGTAGGAAACTATGATATTCTATAATGGTACACTGTAGAAGGACCAGGAAAGTCCCCAGTCTCTCTATGGGCTGTATTTATGGTTTAAATCTTCAACTCAAAATTTTAAGGCTCAAACTTACAGAGATAAATCTGTAAATCTGTAATCTTATGAAAGCTACAAACTTATAAACTATTATGTAATTCATTTAGTAGCAAGCTTTATTTAGTTTCCTGTATGTGCTTTCAAGGTTAAGCCTAAACTCAGGTATACTTAATAGATAGTGGTCCTCAAACTCTTCAGAGAGCTGCAGAATATGGTTTAGAATATTAAATAAAAAGCTTGCCATTATAGAGACACTTTCAGGGTGATTGTCCTACTCAGCCTGGTCAAAGGTCAGTCCCCCACATTCCTCCTCTACAGGAAAATCTCTCAGACCTGGGTCTGACCGTGGAAGGCCTGCTGCTGTGTGGTGGCTGAAGATTAAACGCTGTCCCATATGAGGGCTGGAGACCCAACACTCCACTGCCTAGCCATGGAGACAGCAGGAGCCTAGAGCAACCTACATAATGGGGAAGTTTCTGTCAATTTTTAACTGATACATTTTAATCATACCTCCTGCTATAATTTATTCTCCTCAGATCTCTGATGATATTGACTGACTGTACTAGAAGTAGCAAGCAACCAGCTCCTCCCTCAAGCCTCACTCTCCTAGAGTTGTTACCAAGTCTCCAGCAGAGAAGGACAGTTTGCCTTGCTAACAGACAGACTCATGAAAAGAAATAAACTCACAAAACAGGTTTCAAAGCAACTTTTTACTCTTCCTTTATTTAAAGGAACTTGCTTTGCAATGAGCACTCTCCGTAACCAGCTGCCTGTGTCTCATGGTAAAGGGTTGGATGGGAAAAAAGCTTAAAGTTTATACTTTAAGTTGTAAGAAAGTGATTTAGCCTGCAGTGGTAGTGCACGCCTTTAATCCCAGCACTCAGAGGCAGTGGCAGGTGGACCTCTGAATTCCAGGTAAGAAATGTAAAAAATAAAAACACGTTTCAGATTTTCTTCCCTCTCTATGCTATTGTTATATTAAAACTTAAATGTTTTAGAGTTTTAACATTAATCAATGAAGCTCTGATGAGTTGTTGATCTAACTCTGGTAAGCACTGGCTACTATTATCACAGTCACAAGCCCAAGATTTTAAATTTCCTTTGGTTGTCTTAGAAATATAGATTTAAAAGTGCTTCTCGTTGTGCTAAAAACATCTCTGTCTAATCTATATATCCAGTCATCTGGAACGAGTGTTAATACTTTTTTTTCTTTTCTTTTCTTTTCTTCTTCTTCTTCTTTTTTTTTTTTTTTTTTTGGTTTTTCGAGACAGGGTTTCTCTGTGTAGCTTTGCACCTTTCCTGGAACTCACTCTGTAGATCAGGCTGGCCTCGAACTCACAGAGATCCGCCTGGCTCTGCCTCCCGAGTGCTGGGATTAAAGGCGTGTGCTACCACCGCCCGGCTAGTGTTAATACTTTTTAACCCAGAATCATTTTGGGGTCCCTGAGTTTCTCCTATAACTCAAAGGCATGATGAGTCTACTGCCTTTTCTACATGTGGATTTTAGTAACAATTACATACAATGGTAATGTTAACATATCTAAAACTTTTATCTCTTTTTAAACTTCAAAAAGGTTCTTGTGTTAATCCACCAATGAAGAATAAGCTCACTACCACAGTTTAAAGCCAAATTTGAAGCAAGCTTTAATTAAATACTGGCCAGGTAGATAAGCCCTGGGCAAGTCCATACCCCGGTTCCCAGGAAATGGCCCAGAATCAAGTAGGGCAAGGGCTTAAGAAGGAAAATCAGTAATTCATTGCACTTTCCATTAGGTCCAATCAGAGGCAAGTGTACATCCTGACGTATTTCTTGCCTATGTGCTTCTCACCACATGTGATCAAGCTCATCCGGTGCAGATGGGTCAAACAAACTTGTTTAGGGGAGTGAAAACATGTGGCTTGTTATCTCCCATAAACAATAGCCACCAGCATTTCAGGAACTATCTGTCCTTGGGCAAGGGGCTTGCAAATCAGAGACATTTGGAATTAGAAGTGCATGCTACAGATGTCCAGCTTTCTTTTAAAAGTGCTTCTCATTGTGCTAAAAACATCTCTGTCTAATCTATATATCCAGCCATCTGGATATAATATCCAGTCACTGGAATTAGAAGTGCATGCTACAGATGCCCAGCTT